TCCCATCCCTGGCTGCCCTCTGGCAGTGGGAGCCATTCCCTGGGTCCTGTCCCTCCATCCTTGTCCCCAGTCCCTCTGCAGCTCTCCTGGAGCCCCTTCAGGCCCTGGAATGTGCTGGAAGCTCTCCCTGGATCCTTCCCTTCTCCAGGGGAATATTCCCAGCTCTCTCTTTCAACAATAATTATTATTTTGAACAGGGAACAGCTTCTTCGGCACAGAAGCCTTAGGAAGTGCCTCCAACTGGCGTTTTAGGGTCACTAAATAACCCCAAAAAGTCACTTACGGGCCGCTCCTCACCACAAACAGCGCCGGGGCCGCGCCTCCCCCTGACGCCGCCTCAGCGCCGCCATTCCACCCCAGAACTACAACTCCCATAGTGCCCCGCCCCGGGTGCCCGCCGGGCGGCGCGCTGCGGCGGCGCGGAGCCTGCCGGGAGTTGTAGTCCCCGCGGCGGCAGCGGGCGGGCGGCGGACTCCCGGCGGCCGGAGGAGGAAGCGGGGCAGGATCCCGGGATCGAGGCGGGATCCCGGGATCGAGGCGGGATCCCGGGATCGGGATGCGGCCGCGGCCCGGGAAGCCGCCTGGTTGCCCGGAGCGGCGCCATGCACCCGGCCGTGGCGGTGGGGCTGGTGTTCGGCGGCTGCTGCAGCAACGTGGTGTTCCTGGAGCTGCTGGCCAGGTGCGGGGCCGCGGAGAAAGGCGGGATAAAGGGATAAAGGGTCGGGATCGGGGTGATCCTCTTGGAATGGGGTCCCTCGGGGGTGTGAGGGCATGAATTCAGCAGCAGGGCCGGGGTGGGTTTGGGGGATTTGGGGCGCTGAGGGGGTTTGAAAACCCTCAGGCCTCGGTGCCCCCTCATGGAAGAGCCCAGAGCGAAATCATCGCTAAATCATCGCTTTTTTTATTATTATTTTTATTTTTATTTTTTTAACTGCTTCAGTGTGAAAATAACCCTAAAATGTCAGCTTTTTGGGGTTTTGTTTTTTTTTTTTTTTTTTCTTTTTCCCTTTTCTCCCATCCTGTCCCTTATTCCTTGGGAAAAGAGCCTGGCTCCCACCTCGCTCCATCCTCCTGTCAGGGAGTTGGGGAGAGAGATTTAATCATAAAATTCACTCGCATTAAAATAGAAATTAAATTCATTTATAGCTCAGTTCATGTCAATTATGTGATATCCAAATAAATGACTAAATAATGTGTCCCGGCTAGGGGATGTCCCCATCCCACCCTGTCCCAGCGCTCAGTTCCCAGGGATAAGGCAGGAGCTGCCCCTGGGGACATTCCAGGGAATGTTTTCCACCTGGAAATCCCAGCTTGGGCTCTTGGAATGTTTTCCACCTGGAATCGTCGCTCTGCAAAGTCACCGAGTCCCCTTGAACTCTCAGATTGGAGGCTGATGATTTCTGGGGATCTCGCCTTCCTCACTCACCCTGATAACTTTGGGAATCTCACCTTTCCCACCCCGATGTTTTTTGGGATCTCACCTTCCTCACCCTGATGTTTTTGGAGATCTCACCTTCCTCACTCACCCAGTTGATTTTGGGGATCTCACCTTCCTCATCCTGGTGTTTTTTGGGATCTCACCTTCCTCATCCTGATGTTTTTGGGGAATCTCACCTTCCTCACTCACCCTGATAATTTTGGGAATCTCACCTTCCTCATCCTGGTGTTTTTTGGGATCTCACCTTCCTCACCTTGATGTTTTTGGGGATCTCACCTTCCTCATCCTGGTGTTTTTTGG